TGACAATCCAAACAGGAATAACAGAATAACCCATTGTTTCTTACAGAGTTAATAATCCTAACATAAACTAATAGTAATCTTTTATGTTAGCTATGATAATTTTCCAACATTCCATCTATCCATTCTGTGACGAATAGTTGTTGATTTTGTCACATCTTTCTTGGTCTCTAATCCTAATAATAATTCAAAAAAATCTTTATGAAAAAACACACCCAAGAAATCAAACAGTTCCAAAAGAAAGATTCAAGAGAATCAAAGAAAAAGAAAGAATCCCCTGATCTTAGTATACCTAATTCTGTTGTTGGCTCATCATCCTCAAGATCAAGAGCAACCTCTGACAAGGAAAAAGGACTCATCCTTAGTCCTCTGCGTTTTTTGGAAATATATCAAAAATTTTTTAGGAATATGAAATCTTAGTCACTACCGAACCAATTACATCACAAAATTTGAAACTTTTTTTTCTACTTTCTTGAATTCGTGGGAGGGGTTTGGAACTCTGCAAATTGGGGCATTTCTTTTGCTTGAAATGCCTATCTAGGGTGTCTTCAACAATAGCACTGGCTATCATAAGAGCCTCCTCATCCCAGCTAGCCATTGCTGCCACGAATCTGAACCTGGGGCTGAGTAATTTCTCTTTTTTTTTCTCCTCCATTTTGGGCAATTTATTTTGATTTTTGAGAAGGGTTTCTTGAGTTTTGTTGCGGGCTTGAGTAAGGCTCTTCACTACTGCTTCTTCTTCATCAGCAGGATTTGGAGAACAGAGAGTTAGGGTTTGATCTGGGGAGAGAATTTTGGATTTTAATTTTGGACAAAAAGTTGCCCGATGTCATTTTCTGTTAGAAAATGCAAGGTCCCTTTTTTTCCCATTTGTAGAAGAAAAGAAGGATAAGGTTTTTGCATTTCTTAAATGTGAATTCAAAGAGTTTGCATTTCCTAGTAGCTAGTTTGGGAGGAAGGAAATGGATAGAAAAGAAAGGTTTTGAAAGGATTATAAATTTTTTTTCCATCATTTTAGAGCAAAAAGTGTGAATGAAAAGAAAGGATTTAGAAAGATTTCACTTTCCTTTATATATTGGAAAACTTTCTACCCAAAGTTGGGTGGAAAAGGAAGAAAGACATGGTGCTTTAACTTAAAGTGAATTTTTTAATATGACAATATTGCCCTCAAAATCATGATACAAAAATTTTTAATTTCCAATGAATCCCTCAACTTGTTTAATTCACATTTGTTTACAAAAAGAGTAAATTTGTAAAATAACTTATTTGAGTATCTTTTCTTTTTATTTGTTTTCAACTCCCAAACAAAAGAAACTTACCTTCTTTTCTTTTTTAAAACTTCCAAACAACTTAGGTAGAGACTTTGATCATTTCCTATCCTTTCTTTTCTTCTCTAACTTTTCCTTTCTCTTCTTTTCTTTTCTATTCTAAACTCCCAAACTAGCTATAAGTGTGAATACCCTTATACTAAGAATAACCAACTCCAAAAACCCTATTGTAGAATGACTTTTTTTTCATAATAATTTTAGAATTTACTCCAAATTCTCTCCTGGCGATGCATTTGAAAAAGGATAAAATAGGCATGGTCATAGCAGTGCGCCTATTTAGATCCAAAAATGGACCTGCATTAGTCTCTTTAATCCGTGAACTTGTGCACATTGTTAATATGTGAAATATTTGAATTTGTGTACCTGCATATTTTGATGTACACTTGTGTTCATCAAATTGCACATTTTTTATTCAGTAAGTTCACAATTCAATTAGGTACAAATTGCTATAAAAGGGTTTAGATTGCGATGACTTATAAAGAAATATTTCTGATAAAAGTGCTTCTAACAAAAGTGGTTTTAAGTTATTAGGCTACTTAAATTATGAAAAATTAATTATCAAATACTTTATAAGTACTTAAAAAACTATTTTTGTAAATGCGTAGCAATGCCAAACGGTCCTTTAGTCATTAAACATATAGACTAATTGTGAAAGTCGGGGACCCACGTCGGCTTAGTCATCATCCATGTGGCAAAAGGGGATTGGCTTCCTGGTGACGTGGCAAGCGATGATTGGTGGCAAGTTTGGTTTCCTTGAACATGTCCTGCACGTAACCTTTTGTTTTCTCTCTTTCATTCTTTCGTGCATTAGTCTTCAGACCCTTCACCAATGTTTTGAAAATCGAACCGGATCGGCAGGTTCGACCGATTGAACCGCGAACCCGCCATAACACCGGTCCGATTCTATGTTAGGGTTGGCTATGCTAGAAAATCGATCAAAAATCGATCCAACCGTGAAACCGTCGAAACCGGATTGAACTGATTTTTTTCGATTTTTTTTTTTTTTTTTTACGTTTTGCAAAATGTAGTTTTCAAGATTTGAACTCATAACCTTTGTAATAGAAGACCAATATAGTAACCGTCGTACTATCACATCATATTAATTTTTTTTATAACTTATTTATATAAAACAAACACTCATATTTCTTTTTTTTATTTTTCTTACAAAATCTCATAATCTCATGACTCTTTCTTTTTAATTTTCATCTCTCTCTCTCACTCTCTCTATCCTCTTTTCTTTTGTCAATCCCTTTTAAATCAAACATCTTTATTTTTAATTTATTGATGTTTTCTTACATCTTTTAATTTTATTTTTGTCCATTAAATTAAAAAAGTTAAAAAAAATTTATTTTTTTAAACCCAAATTATTTAATGCCACAACCACTTGCTTTTATCTCATTTTTTGTTTCTTATCAAGTTTGCATTTCTATTTTCGATTCTCTTGATTTCTTTCGAACTCTAAACTTTCTTTTTTAAATTGTAATTTCTAAATCCCAAAACGTAAATTAAAATTTAAGTTTACAATGTCTAAATTCTCATAGACGTGAATTTCGTATAATTTTAAAATATTGTGATATTTTTGGATTGGATTTAAGATTTTTTGGTAGATATAATTGAAATTGAGATGAAATTTATTTGTTTTAACTTATAATTCAAAAATAAATAATTTATTTTTAAAAATCCAAGTTATTCAAAAATAGTAAACTTTTCATCATGTAAAGTATTAAATTAGTCCATTACATGTCTTATTTTGTGCATATATATTTATATAAATTATTTTTTCAAAAATTCATTAAACACCGGTTGAACCGGTCCGACCGATTGAATCTCGACCCATTCACTTCACCGGTTCAATTAACGGTCCAATTTTTAAAACATCGCCCTTCACTGGAAATCATAAACGGCTCCAACAACCCCAACACTCCAGTCTCGAGACGTCCACTCCCCTTTGTTTCTCTTTTTTTCTTAATCAATCAATCATCTATGCAATATACAGAGGTTGACGTTTGACCAAAAAAAAATCATCTATGCCTTTTGCTAGATGCGATGGACTTGAGATGACCACTCAGTCCTATCCATTCTTTAGCCTTTCTCTCTCATACATTACTCATTGTGCATTCACGAAGTTGCGGTCGATGAGATATCGGAAGAGATCGCCATCAAATTCAACTTTCCTGTTCTCTTCTCTTCTTCCATCTCCCTTTTGTTATGGGAGAATAGATGGTGAAAAAATCAATTGAGCAGGAAAAAAATGTTTTGATTAAAATAAAATAAAGGAAAGAGGAAAAAGTTTTGATTCTTCTAATTCTTCCACTTTCTTACGCCTAAGTTCTTTTGTACTTTTTTTTGCTTTCTGAAGAAACCGTGTTTTGGGTTTTTCTGTTTTTTCCCAATAGAGCAAGAGATCAATGATAAAGGAGCCATCTTTTTCAGGTTTGAGGTTATGTTTAAGAGTTTTTATCAATGATTTTTTTAAATCAATAGCCTATTGTTGTTTTTTTGCTTGAACTATTTTTATTTATCGGTAGCCTTCTTGATCTTCAAGTTTAGAAGAGATTTTTTTCAGTTTTTTGGGACAAAAACAGCGGATGAGTTTTCAGGAAAATTGTTCTTGCTACAGATTTATGTGTTTTGGACTATTGTTATCTAAGCGCTTTTGCCTCGTTGTCTTTTTTTTATGCCGTTTTAGACATTTATTTTTTAGAAGTTTGGCTTATAGTTTAGAGTAATTTCTGTGTCTTGTAGTTTTGTTACATCTCTACTTGCTTTAGTTTTGTTCTTGACATGTGCAGGTGCTAGCAAATATGAGGAGAGAATGTGAACTGAATAATGTGACATGCAAAGTATGGAATGATTTTTTATTTGATAGCAGTAGATTTTAACTCGCTAGCTTATATGATGCATCTTCAATTCTTCACAGATAAATGATGCATTGCATACTTAGTTTCTATATTCAAGACCATAATCTGAAGCCACATTTGACTAGAGCCCAATAAACTTATAATTGGTCATATCTATATGTATTGCAAGGTGCTGGGACTTACATGGGATGTTTGGGATGAACAGATATTCTCCATGTGCCCAAATATATCCTTGGAGCTGATGTCCTATATGAAACAAGTGGTAGGCTTGTCCCTATTTTTCTCTTCCTAATATGGTGACTTTTTCGGTTTTGTTTCACATATCACTTAACTGGAAAGATGGGTTTGTTTGGATATTTTTACCACGCATGCACTTTGAAGCATTTGATTATCTTTTTCCTACTGTGGCATTTCTGCTCCAGAATTCTCCCTCTTCGGTTTTTATAACAGCTTACCACAATAGAAGGTGATTATGGATTTTCAATTCCTGATCTTTTCTTGGCTCAAGGACATTTGGTGCCGCACTTGGGTGTATCACAGGTTTATGTTAATTTTTTGTTTCTCGTTTTACTGTAAACAGTGGGCATCACCTGATTGAGTTCTTGATGGTTAAATGGGGATTGAAGTGCATGAAGCTTCTAGATGGGTTTTCATTCATGCCAGCTGACAAAGCATCTGGATTAAGTAGGAATATACAGTTGGTAGACATAATTTTGGATAATGACAAACTAAGTTAGCAAAAAGTCGTGATACTTATTGAGAAAAATGGTAAGATGCAATATATTTTTTTTCTTTCTTCTTTTTCTCTCTTTTTTTTTTTTTGCCTTCTTGAATGACTATTAAAATACATGGGTTGGGGATGACATTAACATGTTACACTATCTGTTCCCCCCTTGTTTTTATTTATTGCTTCACTTCTGGAATTAAACTAAGCTTGATGCTGAATTGAACTATGGACCATAAACAATTGTTTTGGTTTTTGTAATTTTTTTATGTCCTATACAAGACCATTGCAATCCTGTATGCACCAATAACTTGTTTGTAGCATCAAAATGATATGAGCTTATTATCTTCTGTTCAGAAGTGTACAAAAATGTTAACTTCCTAAAACTGGATTAAGTGCATTTGTACCAAGATCTAGTCAATCAGTTTGGATGTTCATATCCAAGGAAATTTTGGACAATTTTACATTTTCATTTATGAGCAACACGTGGGCAAATAATGTATGTCAAGACCTCCAATTCTGCTTTCAAGTAAAATTAGTTGTTAAATTTCATGAAGGCTTTCCATTTATCTCTTTCCTCCCCCTACATCAAGTTTTGTATTGAACCCCAAAAATTATGCATAACAGAGTATCCAAACAGGACTGCCATTTGCAGGAGAGGAAATAGACTGCTTTAACATTTAAATCTGTAAATAATATATGCATTGTTCTGTTGAGTATTGAATTTCGGGGTTCATATAATCTTAAAAATCAACAAGTTTGATAGCTCTGGTTTTCTTCCGATCACTTTGGATGATGGAGGCACTTAGTTGAGAAAGATAGTTTAGTTTACCACCCTACAGTCCTTTCTAATTTCCTGACCACCTGTGATGCTGCTCATCTTGATCATGAAACTTAAAAAGGCCTCATTGAAAGTTTTTTTTGAGCTTACAAACTTTGAAACCAAGTCTTTTGTCTTTGGAGAAGTGAGTAAAGCCTGATCTGAAGAGAAGAGGCTCTTCCCTTGGAGAATCAACTTGTAGTACGTGTTGTCAAAAGTAGTTGACGATGGAACCATTGAGGTGCCTGCATTTTTTGCCCCGCTCGTGTTTGGACAAATGCTTCTCAAACTTGCTGCAAAGGATGGGTGTGGTGTAGGATCAATGTCATGGGTGGCATTGAAATTGTGGATTCTATTCTGGAATGATGAGCAATGGGAAAAACCTATCGTGTGGCCACCTTCAAAGTGTGGAAAGAATAATTTTTTTAGTTTGTGAAGATGGAAAGAAATTATGTGCAAGACAGTTTGGAACTTGGTTCTATAACCTGAGAGAGCAACAAGGTCTTCCATGGACAGACCTCTCTGAGAGAAGCTTTGTTGGAGTTGTAATATATTGAAGACTGAAGCTAGGAATTGTGTGGTATGGCTAGCCTTAGATATCCTCCCATCTTTTCTTCCTTTGGATACATCCCAATACTGCCCACCAGATTGTTGTATTAAACACAGTTTAACAACTATATTGTTGACTGAAATTGACTGTCAACTATGTTACATCATTTTATAGTCATTCTTATATTTTACATTTAAACAGACTTCTTACCTGACATATTTTAGTATTGTTAACAAAAGGTCTAGCTTCCTATTGAATTTGTTCATGACTAACAAATTTTTGATATACATAAAAAAACATAAGGTAGCATTACACGGGAATACATTATTTTCAAACTAATAACATTGTCATTCCTGTTGAATTAGTAGGTAAAACAAAAAATGACTTTGTCATTTAGCTACCAAGCTAAAATTGTGGCTTATCTACATTGCTTAATAAAACTATAAAAATATTAATTGCAAAGATTTTGGTGCATTTTTATGTAACTTTTTATAATTAATATCCTAATTTAAATTATTCGATATTTGTGGGGAAAGCCTGAAAATTACACCGCGCGGTGCGCGGAGCTCTCCTCCTAGTTCAAAAATAAATGTATTAGCTATACGAATCCGTGGTCAATAACCTACTTGAGAACTAGAACAGGATCCTGACAATTAGCAATCGGTATCATTAACCATATAGTACTATGGGCGAACACCCGGTTTCCATGTCGAATGTGGTCGTCCTCCGCATGGCGAGATGAGATTGGCTCGATGGTGACGTGGTGTGAATTGATTGGTTGTCAATTGTGCTTGTTGCACGTGATCCTGCCTTCCCTTCATTCGTCCTGTCTTTCGTTGCTTCCGGTTCTGTGATGTCTTTTCTTTCTTCCGCTTCATCAGCCTCCTCTCTACCCACTCCAACCTGCTTCTTTTTTTTTCGGCCACATATTGGTGTTGTTTCCACTCCAAAATTTACCTTGGTTGCACCTGATTTTTTCTCTCCTCTCACCTTCGTTCATCTTTCCTTCCGCTTGTTTTTGCTACTGTGTTGCTTTCTGCCCACTTCTTTCTCCCTTTTCGGCCAGACCCTGAGGCTGTTTTGGCCAGACAATTGGCTTCCTCTTTGTTTCTTGCTCTTCCTTTGTTGTCAGAGTGCAAGTGAGCTGCTCTTGCAAACAGGGGCCCATGTCAAATCACACCCACATCTCTTCGATTTTTTGTCACAAAATGTCTAGGGTTATAAAATTTACCGTCCTCTCTCTCTCTCAAGACTTCTGCCGTCCCTCTCTTTCTTCTCTTCCTCTCAGTAGCTTGTCGCTTTTCCAGTTCTTCCTCTTTTTTTTTCCTCCACAAAAATACTCACGCTTCCATTTGCTTTGGTAAATCGTTGTTTGTATCAAAGAAGGGCTTGGAGTTCTTTTTTTTTCAGTTCTTTCATTTTTTAGTCTTCGATCTAACTATGTATTTTACTCATTGTTGTTTTTTAGGTTTGAAACAAGTGTTCTTTAGATGGGTGATAATACAGACGAAGGAAAGGGATCTAAGGTAATAAATCTTTTTTTTTGAGCCAAGAATTTAGACCTCTATGTTTGACATACTTGCTTTTCATATTTTTATATTTTTATTTATGGTTTTAGAGATTTGATTGAGAACTTTTTTTTTTTATTATTGTGAAAGGAATATTTTCTCTTTTATTCCATTCGATTCACAATTTTTCCCTCTATTGTAGAGAGAGCAGACAGTGTCAACGGATGAAAGGAAGATAAACCTGGTTCTTTTATTTTTGGAAGTAAAATTGACGGGAAGGAGGAAAAAAGATTTAACTTTTTTAAGTTTGAGTTTTTCTTTAGTTTATTTTTGAATCATTTTGCTAATTCTATGCTAAACTAGACCTCCAAGTTTCAACTTTCTCTTCGTTTTTTTCCTTTTTATTGAAGGTTAAAGGTTTTAATGTCTTGTTTAGTTATTGGCTTTGCTGCTGCTCGTACTCTTACTTTGGCATTGCTTTCCTTTGAGTATTTGTAAGTGTTTTTTGATCTCTGAGTTTTGTTATTTGTAAGTGCTTTGGTTTCATTTTGCATCATCCAAAACTTTCTAATGCTAATTTCATTCGTAGTTGGTTTGCCCTTTATATTTTCCTCTTAGTGGGTTTTCCAATGCGATGCTTCTTTTAATTAATTATCTATTTTTAAACTTGGGTCTATGGAAAAAGATAAATGAGCCAAACAAAAGTTACATATAGCCTTATGTTAATTGAAGCATCTGGTTGTGGAATCCAATATAATCCAGCTCTTTATCTTCTGCTTACATACATATATATACATATATTTGTGTATTATTAGTTCTTCATCTTTCACTATTGAATTTCAATACATGGTTTATTTATCTTTTGCATTGTGTTTTATAGTGAAAAGTGTGTGAAAGCTTACTGTTTGTGTTGTCTTTGTCTATCCACTTGGAAACATTCACAGATATGTCAAGTGATCCAAGAGTACTTGAAAGCTACTAATCGCATGCCCATGATAGTTTGGTCAATTTCCCTGTTCTCATGGAAAATAAATTCTTTGAAATCTCTCAAAATCCCTTGAACAACATTTTTTCAAAATGGATAATCTCTTATTAAAGCCATGGTATATGTATTATGAAGGCTTTCATGGAATTGTGATAAAGTTTGAGGTAGTGATAGAAGATATGCCTCGGGCTGCAAAGTGTTTGGAGATTTTTCTTTGAGGACGTTGATGATGGTAGATGTATTTAGTATTGAGTGATACGGTGTAGCTTTTGATAGATTGTGATTTACCTTTGCTGTGGCCTTAGAGTAGTCCATTAGTTATGGCCTTAGAATCCAGTGATTTTGTGTAGTGCATTTGAGTTGTTTGAAAAAATGTCCAAGTGAAAATTTCATCCAATTTATGGTGATCTTATAATAGAACTTAAGGCTATCTATAACTGAGTGTTACCATGCAAAATATAGTGATGTTGCCCTATAATTGGGACTGATATTTGAAGAATTGCAGATAAATTGTATTCTCTATGACTCTCTGATTGACAGTACAAAGAAATTTTTATTATGACCTTTTGCAGATCTGTATTAGCTGCATCAACAGTATCCATGTGGACCGTTGCTTAAAATGAAGAGAATTTTGAGTTTTTCAGCGGCTGCTGGAGTAAAACATTTGATATATGGCATTGAAAATAGACTGGTATGATTGCAAGGCTGGTTGATTGCTGTTATTAGAATGGTATTAAAATGTAAATAGTTGTTATCTTTCATTTAGCTTTGAAAAAGGGTTGGCTAAAAAGTCTCACTTTAAATTCATGTCACTATTGTGCACTTTGGTTCTTTCTTCATAACGTAATGCTTCATTTGTGTTTCTAGCGATTTTTCCTGCCTTCTTTGCATACATCTTCTTTTTATCTTCATATTTATAAGATCCGTTTCACGGAAAAGAAAATACAAATTGGAGGAAAGCAGCCATCCGATTTATTTCTTGCTACCATATCTTTAGTTCTAAGTGAGCAGATCGCTTTTGCAGGCAAGAGTATGACATTGTAAGTGTGCGTACACAGTTCCCTTGGAAATTGTAATTGAATTTCAAGCTTCAAAGTTTTCATTTCCTTCTTTGATGGCAGAATATTGTTTTGAATATGCATTAAATTTGAAATGCTTAGCTATATAAGCTTCTAACAACCCAAGCAGTAAAATAATATGGTCTAGCAATTTGTTTGGATCATAACATTTAAGGGCTTTGATATGCTAATGGCTTATTTTCTAAGATCGAAGCTCTTTAGAAAGCTGCAGTAAGGATCGCAGGCTATATAAAATGTTATTTGGAAGGTCTAATGCATGCATTCTGCTTTCTGGTACAATTTGATGGAAAGATGTTGCATATGCAAGGTGAATGCTGCTTTAAGTGTTTGCATAACCAAATGGACACCTTGCATCCCTCTGGTCTTCTTGAATGTTTAGATGTGATCATACTGCTTCTCAAAAGCAATCTGACAGTTGGATGTGGTGTGTTACTAGGGATTCTTAAATCATTTTCCAGGTGTTTGAAACTCAACCTTGTAGGCTCTAAGGGTACATGCCCTAGCTCTTAAAATTTCTTGTGTCTATTCTAGATACTAAACCTTTTTGCCAGGTAAAACTCATAATTTAAAGTTAGGCTTGTTGAAAGTTGTATGAGCCTCCAAAATTTGTACATATCTGAATATGTTGAAGTGTCCGGTGCTATTTTGTTTCAACAACACTTTAATCCAAAAATGATTTTATTTAGTATAAGAAGTTTGAATGCGGAGTGATGAATGATTAGACATTGTTTGAAACTTTTGAGTTTTCTTAATAATTAGTGTGTCTGCTTTAATGTTCCAAAAATGACTTTATTTAGTATAAGAAGTTTGGATGCGGAGTGATGAATGATTAGACATTGTTTGAAACTTTTGAGTTTTCTTAAAAATTAGTGTGTCTACTTTAATGTCATCGTTAAAGCTATTTGTAATAAAAAAAACTGCACTTTCTGCTGTGATTTATTTTTGTTGTTCTTTTTAATAGCTTGATGTTTTCTTGGGGTTTGGGTCACTGCTGGTTTTGAGGGCTGATATACAGATACGAAATGTGCGTATTTGAGACTTCAGGGCTGAAATTCATTTTTTGTATTTTATTGGCCCAGAAGTTTGGACCTTGGAGAAGAAGGATTTCATTTCTATATTTGTCAACATGTTATAGTTTTTAATGCCAATATGTCAAAGAGTTACTTTAGATAGGGAACAAGATCTCATAAGATCTTGCATGTTAATGAATGTCTAGGCTTGCGGAATTGTTTACACAAGCCACTAATGTTTTTACAGTATACCTTTAGAAGAAAGATCTGCTAAGTTGCCAATTATAGTATAAGATCTTGTCATAATATATATATATATATATATATATATATATATATATATATATATATATATATATATATATATGTATGTATATATTGGTGTAGATAAGCTTTCAGCTTTCAGACATCACTGCAACTGATGTTATGAAGTACTTTTCAGTTGCGTATTTTAAGCTTTAAGCTTTTGTACTTTTGTGCACGTAATATTACTAATAAGCTCCTTTCCTGCTATAGATTGATGGTTGTGTTACACCAAGTACAACTTATCATTGAGTTCAGTAAATCTGATAAAAGGAATCGTGGTTACATGTTTACATGCGCAAGAATCTACTCAATTCAAAGGATCAAGATAT